TGGTTTTAGACAAACAGGGAAAACCAATTCCAACAAATGCTGCTGGTGTTCCAGTGAACAGTCGTGGAGAACCACTACCTACAGATGAAAGCGGAAATATGATCTATCCGGCTGGTGGATTGGATGTCCCAGCACTTCCAACTGACAGTTATGGACGACCTATTTATGATGTCATTGGACCTGATGGTGAACCTTTGCCAAGAGGTCCTGATGGAATGGTTTTAGACAAACAGGGAAAACCAATTCCAACAAATGCTGCTGGTGTTCCAGTGAATAATCGTGGAGAACCACTGCCTAGAGATAGAAGCGGAAATATAATCTATCCGGCTGGTGGATTGGATGTCCCAGCACTTCCAACTGACAGTTATGGAAGACCTATTTATGATGTCATTGGACCTGATGGTGAACCTTTGCCAAGAGGTCCTGATGGAATTGTTTTAGACAAACAGGGAAAACCAATTCCAACAAATGCAGCAGGAGTTCCGATTGACGGCCGTGGAAACCCTTTGCCTACTGATTCTAACGGGAATTTAGTGTATGGGGGAGAAGTCCCGTTTGTTACTGAAGAATCTGATCAGCAATTGGAGATTGGACCTGATGATGGGCTGCTACCAGCTGACGGCCAACCGGTTCCAACTGACGAAAGTCGAATTGCGCTTGACGTTGGTCCAACGTCAGAGGATTTTGGCGGGGATATGATTGAGATTGAACCAGTTGAAATGTTACCAACCGATTCGATTGGTCGTTTAAAAGAGGTTGTTGATGGAGAGGGAAGACCGTTACCCACTGATGAATTTGGTCGATATTTGCTGGCACCCAATCATCCCATCCAGACGGACGATGCTGGTAGATTAATTGGACCAGATGGTCAACCGCTCCCTACTGATGATTCTGGTAACTATGTTTATAGAGAAAAAATGAAATATCCGAGTGAAGTGAAAGATGATTTCGGACGTCCATTGCCAACCGATGAAGATGTGGGGAGGAATGGTTCGAAAATTGCAACAGAATCAACAGGGCTGACGTTGGATGGACAGGGTGTGATATTACCTACTGACAAACATGGCACTTTCGCAATGGGGAAAGTTCCGACACCAACAAAATCATATCAGATTTTAGATGAAAAAAATCAAATACTACCAACTGATGAAACCGGTAATTTTTTAAATCTTGAAGGGTATCCGATTGCTGAAAATGAAGATGGAAAACCAATTTCTGCAGATGGAGTAGTGTTACCTACCACTGATACAGGTCATTACATCCTTAATACTACGCAGCAAAAGCCTATGATATCTACGGGAAAAGAGAAATCGCAGATAGTAGATATGCAAGGATCACTTTTACCAACTGATCGAAGTGACACTGTTATTAGTCCCGATCATTATCCACTACCGACTGACCAATTAAAGCCAGAAGAGAAACCATATCCAACAGACCGAAATCATCGTCCAATTTATCCGGTTGTTGGATACGATGGCCAACTTCTGCCAACAAACAATGAAGGAATGGCACTTGATCTTGAGGGACATCCAATTCCAACTAACATTGTTGGACGACCACTGGATGAAGATGGTGAAATATTACCAATGGATTCTCAAGGAAATGTTGTCTACAGTAGTGGAAGGAAGAATTGTAGCACACACATGGGTGTTATGGATATTGTAGTGGTAATTAACGTGCAGACTTTAAATTATGACAATTTCGAACATGTGAAGAAAGTAATTCAGAATCTTGTGGATGAATACTTCGATTTTGCACCGGATGTAACCCAATTTGCACTGGTTAAATATAGTGGAACTGCTGAAGTACCAATTACATTAGGCGGTTACAACGAGAAAATGGAGCTATTGGAAGAGTTAAGTCAAGTCAAAATTGATATTAAAGAGCATCCCAGACTGATTATCGGAATCAATGCTGCCAAACAACAATTCATTTCGTTTGGTCGCGAGAATGCTGGAAAGTTAATGATAGTGATAACTGATGGACAAGATATGTAAGTTTTATCGTCATTTTATGCTTTGTTCCATTTTTTTACAAATTATCTTAACAACAGGTCTTGAAAAGTGTTTATGTTTTTATAGAAAAACCTTCTTATCTTCTTCAATATCTTCTTCAATATTTTAGATATTCGGAGGATCGCTTTGCAGACAATATTCCAATGCTTCTTGTTGGCAACAGACAATTTGAAGAAGAAATTAGAGATTGGACTAAATCATACATTTTAGTAGATTCTTGGGAAGAACTTCGTGCTGACTCTATTGCTAAAATGATCGAAAAGGAGTGCTTGCTTGGTAGAATTTTCATCCCAACAAAAAAAGTATCTCCAAGGACAAAATCTGGAAGATTCGAGAAGTTTGCCAGTTCGCCATTACCAACCAATGAACTTCATCGTATTGATGAACTTGATGAAGTTGTGCCAAATGAACAAATTGTCTCGACTACCGATAAATACAGTCATGTCATATATCCTATAAAAGCTGCTAGTAGTAAATTGCTTCCCGTAAATAAAAATGGTTTAGTGACGGATAAGCTAGGGCGGATAATTGAATTTGGCGATTATGGTAAATTAGACGGGGGGCTACCAACAGATGAATCTGAAGCTATTATTTATCCGGATCTTGATACCGATGGTAAACCTTTATCCACTGATGACAAAAAAAGATGGAATGCAGTCACTATTGATGGGAAACCGTTACCAGCTAATCAAGATGGTATATTAGATGTTAGTAAAAGACCGATTACCGCGAATTTGGCTGGACGATATAGTGACTCTCAAGAATTGTCATATCCACTTCAACGTGATGACAACATCATTATGGCAAAGAAAACAGAAAAAATGATAGATGCAACCGATTCTGCTCAACCGCTTTTGTATCCAATCATCGATCCGGATAATATCTTATTGCCAAGGGATGCTTCGAATATTTACGTAAACAGTATTGGACAGGAGATTGGACGTGATGATAGTGAAAAACCTCTAGGCCCTGATGGAGAACCCGTGCCAATCAACGACGCAGGAGGATTCATTTATCCAAAACATAGTCCAACTGGTAAGCTTTCATGGAATGATTTAAATATGAGATTAATTTATCTAGTAGTAAGAGGAAATAGTAAGTTTCTACAACCACCAAAGATGGCTTACTGTTAACACCAGATGTTCCATAGTTGATATCACTTTCCACGATAGGCCATTTTGCATTAAGGCTGATGAAGTGACCTCGTCAAGTGAATGAATATAAGAGGGAGTATTTAAAGGGTCTAGTTGGTAAGCCTCGTGCTATTGATGAAACTGGAAGTTTTATCAACAATCAAAGTAAATTGTTAACAATCGAAATAGACTAACGCGATAAGATAATTAGTGCCAAAGTAGAACCTGATTACATACCAAAAGAACACAAAGCAACTGTGGTTGACTTGTTCGGAAGATCCTTACCTACCAACAAATATGGCGATTCAATATATTATCGACTAATTGATGATCGTAGAAAGCTTACTTATCAAATATTTGGTGAGAATGATGGAGTTCTTCCAACAGATGAAAGTGGCTCTCATATCAATACGGATGGTAAACCAGTACCAGCTAATTTCTACAGCGAACCATTGAATAACGAGAGAAGTTTAGTTCTTGCAACTGATACCAGTGGACATCATATTTCAAACAGAAAATTGACCGATAAACTGTTACCTACTGATGGAGATGATAATGTTTTATATCCAGTAACGGATACAGAATTGAAAATCATTTCAGATACATTAATATCAACGACGTCTACTTCGTTGCCGTTCTTGGTTTTGTTGCCCGATGGTCGTCCATTATCAGCTGGTGATAATGGTGCTTACTTTGATGATAAGGGACAAAGTTTGGTTCATATTGATCAAAATGGCCGTCCTGTAATATCAGCTGATGGAACACCACTGAAGGAAATTGGTGATGGCAAATATCTTTATCCATATGAACCTCAGACAAAAAAACCAATCTTTACTAGTGTTGGTGATGATGGTCATTTATTACGGACAAATCCTTATGGTCGTCAGGTTCAATTAAAAAGCAGAGATGAATCTAGATCTGTTGACAAGTATGACAGATTATCTTCAGAAGGTGATCATAGAAACGGCATATCAAATATGAAAACAAATGGAATATATAATTCATCAACACCATCCAGGTGAAATATTTTTATCACTTGTAGTTTGGAATTAATTTTTATTAAATTGAAGCTTTTAATAAATTCGATCAATTATAGAAAGCAAAAGGAGTGAAAACTCACAGAAATATCAATCTTTTACTAGAAAAAACATATATGTATTGCGTTAAAGAGATTATCGATCGATCACAAATTTTAGAAATAAAGTAATTTAAATTTTGTTGCCTGCAGAACCAGCACTTGGACTAATTCATCGTCATATTGTGTGGTCAGTTCAAACGTTGACATGTTACTCATCTTGGATTCATCAAGCAATGTTAGGATTATTGATCATAGGATTATGAAGGATTTCATCAAAAATTTCTTAGTTGATTATTTCAACTTACGACGCAATTACGTTCGTGTTGGTGTAATGAAATACGGTGATAAGGTTGGTCATACTAGATTTTAAACAAATAAAAAATAAGATTGGTTTTAAACATAAGATTTTAAATAAGATTTTAAACAGTAAAATCGTTATACTACGAAAAATTTATTTTGACATACTTATATGTCCTTTGTGCATCATTATTCAAAAATAATTAGGCTGTAAAATGTAATCCATATGGAATCCATATGATTTTTCAAATTGCATAGTTTCAGGTCGAAATTCCGATATCACTGGGTGATTACGATAGTCAGACTGAGCTCCTATCGAGAATTAGCAAGACCAGGCGTATGCGTGGTGAAGCTAATCTTGGCCAGTCTTTGCTTGATGCTTCTGGAGAATTCCTTATTTTCGGATCCAAAGATATTCCTCGAATTGTAATTATATTTTCAAATGGGCAGCCCAGGTATTATCAATATTTATCTTGGTGTGCAGTTATATATTTTTTTTAATGATCACTTTTCATTACCACTACTTCTGATACGACTTTCAAAAGTCAGAAAATTCATTCATATCCAGGTAAATAAGCCCAGAATTTTATTGCGCTATCTGGAAGAATCAAGCAGATAAAGCTGCTATTATGAAGTTGCAGAAAAAAAAACATGTTCCTCTAATTTCAAACTTTAAGGGGTAACTTGAAAGAAAATGCTCGTCTTCTACGAGAAAATACAAAAGCTCTTATATTCCTGGTTGATGTTGGAAATCAAGGTGATAATATCCGAAATTTGGAAATTGTTGGTGAATCGAACCCACACCGAATTATTACCATCGATGAATGGAATGGTGTAAATCCAAAGATTCTGCGTCCTTTTGTTGATGAGTTGTGCAAGGTCTGGCGATATTCGCAAAAGACTATTTCAGAATCTTATTTTTGGTTTTTTTCTCTTGGTTCAGAGCATATTCAAACTCGAGAATGACTATATCTTTTGATCAATCATGTTGAAGTAATGTATCGTTGTTTTTCCAAGAACGCTTCTACTATTTCTGGTGATCTTATAGCAATCAGACAACGAAAACTGTTTTTTTGTAAACACTTTCAGATATTTTAAAGGAATTGGACTTTTCAAATATTTGAATGCTTATTGCCAACACACTTTTAGTTATTCCCTCAAAGAAAGGACAAGACAAATACAGATGGTACTTGGCCAACAAGACAAACCAAAATACAAATTACAACTCCTGCACGCGTTTGCAATAGAGTTGATTTTCAGGTGAAAACTTCTTTGCCTAGAAGTGAAACATTTAAAATTTTACATTCATTTTGCTTTGTTAGAAAAAATGGCTTATCAGTTGACTGTTTCTGCCTATTCATCGTTTGTTTATATATTTCATCCTCATTTCATCTTCTTAAAAGTATCATTTTAAGGCAGATATAATGTTTATTTTGGATTCCTCCGATAAAGTAACATCAGAAGAATATGCTAACTTAAAAGAAGATATCAGTATGTTGATTGATGAAACTTTCGATTTGTCACCTGATATTGTTCGCGTTGGTCTCGTCGAATATAGGTATTAAAATTTTCAATACAATTTTAAGAAGAAAAATCCATAATCATAATATTTTCGGAAGAGAAATGTTTTCTTTTGGATGTAAAAATGCAATCCTTTTTCTTAGTTTAAATCATTTCCCTACGATTGGTGAAAAAGGATTTGTTGCATTTGAAATGCATTGATTTTTATCATTTTTGCACAAAAATGCTTTTCAAATATCGCATTTCAGTTATTTTACAATTCAGTTTTTGTACTAAATATTTCTAATTTATTGGACATTCAGTGATTTGATTAAACAGAACATTTGATAAATAATTTTTTTACAAGTCGTATTAAAGCATAAATTTGAAATTTGGGATTTGTTGCTTTAAAAACATCAACCAGAGAAACATGATGACATTTCTCATTTTGTTATTTGTAGTGACAGGGCATCAGTCCCTGTACCACTTGGGTATTACGATCATAAAGTGCAACTTTTGGCGGATATATCAAACAGTGAACAACTTGGTGGTACGCCGATTATTCTACGAGGTTTTCATGCTGCCAAAGAACAATTCCAACAAAATGGTCGGAGTGGTGTTTCAAGAATTTTGCTATTAATAACGAGTGGTGCTAATCGGTTTGTGTTTTAATTAATACAACAAGAATTCATGCGCAATATAACATTTCATGGAAATAATTGATATTTATTTAGGCGCTTCTGTTATTCATATGTAAGTTTCGATATAAATGGCAATAGTAATTTCAAACAAGCTGAATATTAATGTATGAAATTAATTCAATTCTCCTATTTAATCACAGTAATTAACGCAGTGTTCTAATGTCTACTTTTCAATTGTCTTTCTGCTACAGAATTCTTTCTGTAGATTGATGATATTTCATTTCATATTTAATACTTTTCAGCGGTAATGTAGTTTTCGCAGCAGATGATCTTCGTGATAGTCTGAATGTAAGCATCTTTGTGCTGGTTATAAATGCAACTCAAGGGGCGCAAATGATGCTAAATCGTTTGGTTGGTGATGAATACACGCAACAACGAATAATATCAATTCCAAGTATAACCAAATTGCACGAATTAGAATTATTACAAATAGGACAAGCACTATGTGGTAACATTGATGTGGCCGCCGCTCCTATTTGGCCAGCGCAAGAAATTCCACACCGAACAACGAAACGTGAAATTAATTACGCCAAAGCAAAACGCAAGTGAGTTTTACATAGAGCAATTGAAATCTGATCACTTTCACCTATATTAATTCAGATTGGCAGTGAAAACGAATTTATTAACTATAGTTTACAATTGATAATAGTTTCAGTAGAGTAATTCATTGGTTCGTTACTTTAATAAATCATTCCAATGATTTTTCTTTTTTAAAACTTTTATCGATTAGGAAAGACAAAATATCTCGTTCGACAATGCACTATTGGAAAACAACAACCAAACATTTCGCTCCAGTACCACTTTGCAAAGATGGTTTCTTACGCCCGTATCAACTTTCGATTGTTGTTGACAATACCGCCAGATCACCTGAGAAAGTAATACAATTGCTATTTTAAAATAGTTCGAGTTTTTGTGATTGTATACATTTTTTCGGGAAATTTTTCATTCCCGTTTTTTCTATACTTGTCATCCTTTTTCCTCACTTGTTTTCCATAGCATGCATCAATATGGTACATGCAAGTAATCTTCCAGGATTTCCGCTTGGTACTAAATCATGTTGCCAACTTTTTGAAAATGCGATTTTCACCAGAAAGCAAACTTATGCAATTGAATTTGATAGGCGTTCATAGCAAAGGCATCAATTTTAAGGCAGCAAATTTTGGCGTTGATATGGTGGATGAAATTTTCGCCGAATTGATACAAAAAAGGCGAGTTTTATCATAAAAAACTCTAAACTCTTACAAAAAGCAAAGCTTTGAAAATTAAATGGAATTTTTATATGAAATAACGTTTCAACAAGCTTATTTGTTGTTTGATGCAAATTTCTGATCAACTTTTATAAACTTAATTAATATGTTCTTTTCTATTGGCAGCTTACAAGATGATGAAATTTCTCCCAAACTTGGTCGAGGTATTGAAGAAGCGGTATTATTAGCTAAAGAGCATGCTGTAAAAGGTGTCATTCGGATAATTCTGATCATTAGTGCAGATGGTACAAGCAGGTATTGTAAACTTTAATTTTGTAAGTGACGCTCTTCTGTCATTAAATAATATGAAAATGCATGAATGATTAATTTACGATCTTTTCATTCCAGTGATGATGCGATACAATCAGCGGAATATGCAAGAGATCAACATTGGCAAGGAATTATTGCAATTTCCATAAGAGCTCCGTTTAGCGAACTCTTGAAGGAATTATCATCGGGAAGTTCTACCAAGTTTGTTTTTTATTTTTTCCCTATATTTAATCAATTTCTCGCTTGCATTCATTATGTATAAATTAATATTTCAGCTTGCAATTTAAAAAAAAAAGGAATGATTTAATGTATTGCCATACAAATTAAAAATTTGAAAATATGAATTGAATGTATTTAATCAGCAATTTAAAGTGTGGAGGATAAAGCTCAGATATATTTACCATTAAATGCTTTCCACAAATGAAAAAATTAAATTTTACAGAGTGATTCATTTCCCAGATTGGTCGATCGGAAATGAATTATTTCAAAGCTGGATTTCTCATGCTTTTTGCAGTTATGTTTCTGTGCCAGTAACGAGGAAAATTAAATTAACGCGCATGACTCGACCACCAATACGAAAAACTTGTACCAATTAAAATTCGATATTGTTAATTATTTGTTGAAATAATATAGTTATCACTTTGTAATCTGTTAATATGTGATGGCTTTTGATGTTTTGTGTAATTTTATATTCAATTTAACTTCAGCAAAAATTATGCTTGCTTTTTGATCTTTTTCTAAATTATTTCTTAAAATTTACACACTTCAATTTCTTTTCCTTCTTGCAAAAAGAAGTAAATCAAAAATGATAGAATGAATTTCTTTTGAATATTATGATCATCATTTATAGCAAAAATATCAATGAATGACGCGACCAACATTGAAGTAACACCGTTAAGTCCGAATTCTCTACTCGTTTCATGGACTTGTTGTACGAATAATAAAGCAGTAAGTTATGATTAAATACTAATATTTGATTTTTTTGATAACAGTCAATGCAAATAATGTTAAGCTATCATATTCATATGCTTTGGTACAATTCTCTCTTTACTATAATGGAAGAATTGAAAATTGCCTATAGCTATCATATTTACATGGAATTTAAAATTTTCAATTCGTCAAGTAGTGTTAAAAGTTCAAATCCTTTTTAGCTTTTGATATGAATCATTCTATTGCAAATGAAAAGAATTTTTATTATCAAAAGAACTCAATTTTTAGGATTATATCATTTCGTATACACCAGATTTATCATTGCCGAAAGAATATTGGCAAAAACTAAATGCAACCTGTCGTGATAGTTTTGGAAGAAAAATTAATGGTTTACCATCTGATAACACTTATACTGTTTGTGTTGAAACATCACAACGATTCGCTAACAAATCTGCTCCACTTAATCTGAATGAATGTGAAACCGTACAACTGGACAGTGGTGAATTACTTTACTTTTGAAATTAAATAATGATCAAACTAAATGCTATCAAATTTAGCGAATCTATTTCTATTTTATTGAAGAGTAATCTTATACCTAAACTATTGAAAAAAAAACTGAGCTTAATTTATTTGGCTTAATTTTAATTGGTTTATAGTTTATTTAATTATTTGGTTTAATTTTTATTTTAATTATTTAGTTTAATTTTTTTAATTGGTTTATAGTAAATTTAAGATACTACGACGCTACCAAATCAAGAACTATTGGATAGTCAATCAGTATCACAATGCCAATGTGTATGTGCAAATGATGGAGAAGCTTTGGTGAAGCCGACATGCGGAACAGTGATGGATCCGTTCCGTCCAGTAGCTACTCTTCCACCAGCTATAGATGGTGAATGTCCCTGCAGTATGCCTTCAAAAGGTGGAGAATGTCCCAGTGGCTACTTCTTCAATCGCGGACAATGCTATGGTTAGGCAATTCTGTCGAACAAGTTGATTTTAGTTATCGTAGAATTCGCATTTTTGATAATAAACAGCTTCCGGATTTTCGTTTCTGAATTAAAAAATGCAGAAATTAAATTTTGTGAAATTAATGGAACATGGAAAATAGTGTGATGAAACACAATCATACATGTTTATATTAATTGAAATTTATTCATTCGAATCGCTAAGCCTTACCAAATACAAATTTCTCTTTTAAATTTACTGAAATCAATTTTGGAACATAAAACTTAAGATTTTAACATCTGCTGCTTTTCAAAGTGATATTAATTTCTGATAAGTTATTTGTTTTGATATATAACATTAACAAATTCATTTAAAGAGCTAATTTTGAGATGTAAACGAATGTCAACAACAAAATGGTGGATGTTCACATGGTTGCGTGAACACTCCTGGAGACTTTTATTGCGCATGTCCACATGGTATGATGCGTGATCCCGTGGATCCGAAAGTGTGTATCAACGTTGCGAGTAGTTTCGACCGAATTGCAGCACTATTGGGTCAATATCTTCATGCAAACCGATTTAATGCAAATGCTACCGGTGCTGAAAAAAGTGATGCACAAACTGATGGTAAAATAGTTAGATATAAGGTTAGTAATTGTTTGTTGTTGAATCTTAAGAGATCTTTAAAATAACAAAATTTATGTTTTAAAATCTTTTCAGATTCTTCAGAGATTTATAAATTGCAGGATCTCATTTGCACCTTTGATCATTGAAGATATAAGGAAAAATACTTATTTAATGCATTCTCTTAATTAATCTTACAAGAGAAGATCTCTGTAGATAAATTTGATAGAAAATTGAGCATTTAACCATATATTAATACAAATTAAAAGAAATTTCTGAAAAATTAGAAATAGGAAATAAAGTTAGATATTTTCCCGATATCTAATCTATGTCAAAATAATAATTAAGCAACATTTCAAATAACTTTTACTGGATGTACTAAATGGAGAATTTTTAATGAATGCAAGAATAAGATCGATAGTTCACCTTTCAGTGTTTTCAATAGTAATGAAAATAGAATCTGATTTGTCTCTTTTGAATAGTAATGAAAATCAAGGTGAATCTAACTGTCCCACTTTTAATTTACCGTAGCATCAGAAGAAATTTACATTCATTGATTACTTTTAATTGAAGAAATAAATAACATTTTTTTCCGAAGTATTATCGACTGATAATTTTTATTTTCTCATTTGTTTATTAAGTTTTTTTTACATTGATCCTTTTTAATTTACTATTTCCTAAATTTATTTCGTTCTATTTATTCTTTTCCATTTGATATTGCTTTGATATTATTTCGCATAATTTTAGGCAACAGTGAAATCAGACGATGATAGAACGATCTCATATGAATGGTCATTGATGCCAGCAGTTGTGCGGAGGGCATTAAAATGGCTATTTTGAAAATTCTTCGAAAAAAATTTATATAAACTTTTGAGTTTTCAAAAGTGAAGAAGGAAGAATCTTTTGCGTTGTTTTGTTACAATCATTATCTTTCATTCAGTATCAGAGTTGTATCACATTTATCGAAATCGTCGCTGTTTCATTCATATTTTCTATTGCTGCCCATTCGATGCATAGTCCTTCTGTTTTTTTTCTATTCAAATTTCTTTTCTTTCAAATGTATCATAATTTCTCGACTTCATTCTTAATTTGAACATTACTCTTAAAATAATTACAATTTTGGATTTCACAAAAATCATTTTTGAATAAATGTAAAAAGTGAAAAATTTTTTGCCCATTATAATGCATTGCTTCCATATTTACTTACATATACACGTCACGTAAGTGTGTATACGTGCGTATGATCCTGTAAGTATGTGATGTATATTTGTCATCAGATCTTAATGAACGACATTTTAATCAGTCTATTGCTACTGACTAATTTTATCTCTAATTTAATTATTATTTTAGCCATTTTGCCATACTTCTCATTATGCATTGTCATTTGTTCGAGTGTCTCCAATTCTCATTATCATTCTATTTCCTTCCTGCCTTCTTATCACAGTTACATTTCTCATTGTTCTACTTGCTAAATTAGTTGTCATTTAAAGTACTTCAAATATAACTATTAATTTTAAAATATATTCATGAAAAGGATAAATTTTGTAGGCTTAGAAAAATAAACAAATAACAACACTCTATGGTATCCTTATGCTATTATTTTTCTAGTAAATAGTTACTATTAAATAGTTAGGTAGTGCTGAAAATTATATCATCGATTATTGTCGTCTCTCTAGTTAAAGTTGAAATAAATCTCCAATTGGCTCGTCAATTAATACTAATTACGAAACGATGTTCTATTTATTAGGATCTTCCAAAAGCTCATTGCACTGCTTACCATGTTTACTGCCAAAAATTGTTGTGATGATCTTATCAGATCATTGTATATGCTTTATTTTTTTAAAAGAAAACAAGCCAATTGATGATGTTTGCTCGTAGTAGACGGAACTAGCAATAAAGTATTCCTTTAAGATGAATTAACATACAATTGATGTGTCTTTCTTATCCTATGAGAAAGTTATATTTAAAAAATTTACCCCTCGATGTTACTTAAATACGATAGCAAGTTGGTGGTAAAAAATACGTCGTAATTGCGCAATCGTAAAATATATTTCTGTATGAAATTTGTAGATTTCGAATGAACATTAAAAGTGAGATATTCCATATCTAAATAAGAGGAGAATTTTATTAATATTATGCATGAAATAAGTAGTAATGGTTCCTTGTAAAGTAGTAGTGTACATTATAACGTTAAAAAAATCGGTAAGATCAAAAAGAAACTAATCGGTTTCAGAAGATGTCACATGTCATCTTCCTCCTTCCTACTCAAGTATCCATCAACAAGTGTCCATTCCGCTTAGCTTATCTGGATACAGGAATGCTCTATCCATTTGCTTAGATGCACCATTTCATTTGACCCGAAGCATATGAAAGGGATGACATTTCATACTGAAGAGAAAGCTGGACTACCAGGTCTGTTGAAGAATACCGGCAATAAAATCTGCTCTAAACAAAATTTCCTTTAGACGACAGAGTTTCACAGCCACACCGTAAAAGGCCTCATCAAAAAAGTGCGCTGTTTTGTCAGTACATTTTTTCTTTATTTGTTTTGTTGCTGCTTAAGTTTTCGGGTAGGTGGTAGGTAGTTAGTTGCGTAAGTGGGCTAAGTGGGTTTGTTTCGAATTGCTGTAAGGAAGGGAATATTTTAGACGAAATGATCGGCTGGATATTACTGCCTTCGATGATCATTGTTAAATTTACAGCAATTTATGTTTTCAAATGCTCTTCCCTCATATTTCTTCGCACAATTCCTATGAGCATAAAAAATGATGGAGGATGCAGACAATGATTCGTCTCGGAGTTCTACCCGAGAACGTAGCTCTTCACACTTTAATGGTGTAGTTTTTGTTTTATTTTAGTCTTTCACATCTATTGTTCATTTTCAACTTCCTTGAAAAAATGGAAAAATCACCTATTAATTTTTTTACTTTCACTTACTATAATTAAAGAGCTAGCTTGATTTTAGAGCATGCTCATTGATGGTAAATCTTCTAAATAACTTGCTGAATGCCACCATAATATCGATTTTTCGCTCCATTATTAAATTTTTAGTGACATAGATCAATAAATGAAGAAATAATTACATCGGGATGTTTTGACACCTTATTTTTTATATTACTGTACACTTTTCATTCACTGAGGTAGTAATACTGGGAAAGAAGTTACAGATGAGGAGAGTTTGAGAACAGCTGTAAGCGACGAAGACTGTGAAGATGAAAGTCGTGGAACTAACTTCAGTTCTTCCGATTCTGGAGACTTCTTCCGAAATCATCCATGTGCTATCAATGAGCGTAAGTTTTAGCACGTTATGTCAGTGAGCTTTTCCATAACTAAATTTTTGAATTCTGCAATCCTCAAAACTAAACATTGCCTTTTTCCCATTCCGTTGCAATATAAAGCTACATGTTTTTGCAAAATATCTTGTTTGAAGCGTGGTACGTTCATCATTCGGATTTGGTGGATCAAACTAATGATGCGGATGAATATGATGATTTTACCGATGATGCTTATGATCCGATTGTTGCTGGTAAGTAGAGAGAATCTTAAGAATTAATTTGATTGTTTTTTCACAACAGACTAGAATATTGACATTACTCTTTTTTTTTTCATTTATTTAGATTGCATTGATGAACCGTTTATACCGCCATCAGAACGTGATGACGCTCCTTTGTCTGGAATTTTGCAGAATCCTGAACTTGATAAAATCGATCCAAGGTAATATTTTGTAAGTATCCCTATAACATTGATTTTAAGTAATATTTCGTTATATTCTGTAGAAGTTAATTTCCAGTAATCATAATATATCTTTAGGCGATTTTTCCCCGATTATTCACGCAATAAAGTTTTACGATTCTCTCGTCTTTTCGGGGCTAACATCAAATCTTCATCAAGAACAAGAATTTGGTGGCCATCAAAGACATTCCAACCAAACGTAATTTTTTAATATATTTTTTTTTTTTGTAATTATCTGCTTTATTATGATGATTTTACTCTTTTTTACATAATATTATTATAAAATTCTTAACATATTTGGAAATTCACACGAATTTAATCTTTGGCCTCAAACCAGCAATTTTATAGAGCCCTAAGCAAGAGGAAGATGAAACAATAAGAGCAATAAGCGCAGAAGAACCGCAGATGTTCAAAAGATCTACAGAAGTGAGTGATTTTTATTCAAAAGGGGCATTCTGCGGAGGAATATTTCGTTAACAAAAGTCCAAAATTCCTGTGCTGTAATGGCACCGTGTTTTTTTGAACTTAGTTTTATAGATTTTAGCTCGCTGAATCATCACAATCCATCGAAACTTATGGCCCGAAGTTAATATTTGGAGATTCTCCTGCTCCAGAAGACTGCCTTGTGGATGATGAAATTCTTTTAATGAGACCTTCAATTTCGGCTGGATCAGCTAAAAATGGCAATGGTGATGGCGACGTGAATGATGTAGCACCGTGGAGGTCTCTAATATTTGTAAAAAGTCACGGTCGAATGACTTGATTTTGCCGTACATATTTAGAAGGAAAACAAGTCATATTTAATAAAATTTCAAAGACTTTCTCTAACCTTTACAGGTCAAAGAAAGTCTTTGAAATTTCACCATTAATTGTTGATTTTAGGTTCGGTCCCGCGCGTATTTGGTATGACTCAATGAATGTTTTGTCTAATCCGTCTCATTTCGATTATGGGTTTAAACTGAAGCGTGAGGTGTGTATTTGCAACAATTTTAATAGCAATTATCTCAAATTCCAGTTGAGTAAATTATTTTTACAGCAGTCATTGCGAAAAAAGGCTATTATGAAAGATGAGAAGAATGATAAAAGTGAAGATGAAGTGGTAGAAGAAGAAATTGGCCCTGGATTGGCAGCGAGTGAACCATTTCCTCCGGAAACATTTCTTCCTGTAAATTTAATTCGATGGGAGGATGATATAATGCTCGATGAAGAACAGGCTAGGCGACAGGTTTCCTTCCAATTTCAAATTTGTTCAAAAGCTGTAAAATATTGTTACTAATGGGAGTAATTTTTTCATAGAAAAAATTTCAGATTTTGAAAGGTTTGGCTTCTCAACCACCTGATAAATTGCCTGAATGTGGTTGGATACCCACACAGCAAACGAGAAATTATGAGTCTTTTATGACAGCTTGTAAGTTTATTCCTTTTCCATTCATTTTGATATTATTATAGTGTTTTTTGGAATAACTTAGTTTGGTATGGTTTTTTAATTTTTGAGCTCAAATTTTAAATTATTCAGTAGATTTAAAACATAAACATATTTAATTAATTGTTTGAACTTTTTTTGAGTCCTTACCCTCCGCTTTTTCTTTTTTCAGTTAGATCTCGTGCATTTGAACAGATGTTCGCGAAACCAGGCACATTTCCATCATTAAGCAGTGCGAATTTGGGTTAGTAATTTGTATGTGGTTGAATTTTTTTTTGAAAGCGTAATTATGCAGAATAATTCTTGCGAATTTCTTTTTTCAATTCTGTTCATTTTTTACTTTCTCTATATGAAAAGAAAATCTTTACTGTTCTGAAACATTATTTGAGGAAGTTTGGATTAAAGCTAATAACTATGAGCGTTCTTCATCGGTAAGATTGTTAAAACAAGCGAGCATAATTATTCCTTCATATAAATGATTTGTCTAACGCAAATCATTGCTTTATACTTTGAGTTGACCAATAATAAAAAATAGAGCTTTTGCTGTCTGCAAGAAATGCAAACTGCCTAGAAGATGTCGATTTTGATCCGGTAAGGAGAAACATCATTGTCAGGATTCAAAACACTGGAATACATAAGTTATGAGCTTGTCTGAAATCAGCCAATTCCTTCTTCCATCACTTTCAATGATTCAGTCCAGTTCTTCAATTGTTGGATGCTTTATTAATGCATTTCAATTTTTTTTTATTTTAGACTTTCCAAAAGAACCAACTCCATCTCATTCTCTTTTCCCTATGGAAAACTATGATTTGCTTTATACGAGATGGGAAGATGATATTATATGGGATTCAGAAAATATGGACCACATACCAGGTAGGTCCATGATTGTGAAGCAAGGGGAAAAAACGAAAATAGAATATGGAATGACTGAAAAAAATTGTTCAAGCCAGTAACTACTTGAAATTTCAAGATTATAATAGGTGGCACTGTAAAGCGTCCTTTTGTTCCGAGATGCAGTTGTGTAACCAATTGATAATAATCTCACTTTAGAACCGAAACTCCTTACTCTTGATTACTCAGACGACCCGAAATTGTTTGGTATGCCAGAGGACAAAGCGACTGAAGATAAGGTTCAAGATGGTGAATTGCCAAATCCACCAAAACCGTTCGATCGGAAGGTAGCTGTATCATTAATGTAAAATTTTCGAGCTTTATACAATCATATAGTTGTTCGTTTAGTTGTTTAGAAAATTCTAAAATAGGATATTGACAAAAAATCTGGTGATCATGATCGCTAAAAAAAATTGTGTAGGAGCATCAATTCACAAAGAAATCCAAAATGATTCTCGGCCAAGTGCAACAGAGGCAAAAGCAAGAAGAAGATGAACAGATGGAAAGTTCTATTGCTCAGCTGACTGACAAAGATCCATTTAATCTTAGCAATGATGATTATTACAGACCTAAAAATGTTGAAAGGTAAGATTGATCTTTTCCAATTCTTGAGCTGATTTTATTACATTAATATTTGTGACAGTCATATGATTTCTTGCCTTGTTGGGAAATGCATGTGTTCGGAATTTGATTTCATCAATTAGTTACTTTTTTCTTGAGGATTTGTTGACTTTCACTGAATCTATTTCTCACCTTTTCTTACAGAACACTCAGTTCCGTTTCTGGTAGTTCACTTATTCAACACTCATTACCTGCACAGAATATACACCGGACGTTTTTCCCGACGCACTTAAATCCATTTAAATTACGGCATTATCATCGCTTACCGTTGTCTAAACGAATCTTGCGAACAATAGGCACCCGCCTCGTATCTGTTAAAACGCTAACCAAACTGATCAAAGAAAAAGAAGAAGTAACTGTTTTGGAATATTTTATTCCGTAGCTGGAGTTAAATAGCATATGGAGAAGAAATGGGTTTCTAAAACATCCTTATTTTTTCTAGATTTTTCTAACTATTAATCTTTATGTTTAATTATATTTAAGTTTCGTGAAAAGCAGAAGGCAGCGGAAGGAGGGGGTGAGATTTTCTTCATGCGTGAGGTGCAAGATCTGTCGGGCAAAGATAGTACTCTATTACTGATGGAATATTCTGAAGAGCATCCACCACTGCTCAATCAACCCGGAATGGCCAGTAAAATAAGGAATTATTACAAAAGGGTAAGTGTAATTCTTGCTTTTTCTTTATCTGTGTTTGGCTAAGATATCAAAATATATGAGCTTTCATTTTATTCTTCTTTTTCTATATAAAAAGTTAAATTTATACCGAGTACCGAGACGCTGAAAAATATCCACTGTGTTTTGTTATTCTAACCTGTATGTTCTAAATTATTTGTAGAACAGTGTACGAAATTGAAAGCCATGGAATCTACTCAAGCGCAGCTTTTGGCTAATGGATACAGATATAATCCTATTCTTTTTATTCCTTTTTTTCAATTTATAGTTGATATTTTTGCAGAAAGTTGGAAAGGAGACAGATCCAGAATATGAATTTGGTGAAACTGCTTTTACGCACACTTCACCATTCCTAGGTTCTCTTGCGCCAGGCCAAGGTTTGCAATCGTTGGAGAATAATTTGTATCGTGCACCTATTTATAAGCATTCATCAAATTCAAGTGACTTTCTTCTTATTCGCACAAAACAGGGGTAAGTTATTTTTGACTGATCTTTAAAAGTTCATTGAAGGACGGAGCTGGTTGCTATACACTCTGTTTTAGTGGAACCAATGGACAGGCGTTTAATTTTTCTTCGAGTTTTTAAGCATTTTTAAGTAATTTATTAAACAAACGGTTCTTGATGGCCTGAGAAATGTGATTCGCTGGCTAGTATCATAAATTTCCAGCTCTTTACTATTTAGTGAACGTGTGACATTAATTAAGCAGATGAATTATTGATCTCGAAGATCATTCGATCTCTTATTTCACTGCATCTTGTGATATGTAATTGCATGTGAACAAAATTATGCACCTGAAAGAAATAAAATCATTTTATTTGATACCGTTTTCAGCTTGGCTTAAGAATTGAGTATATGCATATTTTTAATAAGTCGATGGGTTGCAGGTATTTTATCCGTCATTGCCCAACTTTATTTCTTGTTGGCCAAGAGTGTCCGTTGTATGAAGTGCCAAGTCCAAACTCGAAACGAGCAACAGTTTTTGTTCGGGATTTTTTACTAGCGTATATTTATCGACTTTTCTGGGCTAGCGATCAAAATCCGAGAAGGTGAAAATTTTGATCAGTTTAAGCCTCAGTTTTGAATTTTTGTCTGTTATCAGGACAATAGAGCTTTTTTTTCATATCTGATTGATAAGGGACTTACTTGTTGCTGCTCTGTAATAAGATTTTTGTTTGTTAGTATTAAGGGAAAGTTCCTGCCTTACAACAGAGAGGAAAAATTTTTGCTGGGAATTTTTATTTTAATTCAGATTGAAAATGGAGGACATCAAGGAAGCATTTCCTCATTATGCTGAAAGTTCAGTACGCAAACGGTTAAAACAGTGCTCAGATTTCAAACGGTTGGGACAAGGTCCTGACCAAAACTATTGGGTTAGTTGCAAATCATTGGGTTGGTGATATATGATAGAGCCTTCATAGTTCTTTTTAAAGTACTTTTACTGTTCTCGAGTGCAGTTTTTTAATTTTATTTTGATGCCTTAACCATTTTTTTTGGTTTCCTATCTTTACGAACAAGAGCTTTTTACAGGTTTTACGAGATGATTTTCGATTACCGAGTAAAGAAGAGGTACTTGCGATGGTAACGCCGGAAATGTGTTGTGCACAATACAGCATGCTAGCGGCTGAACAGCGCTTAAAGGTAATAATTAGATTTTTTATTACAGTTTTGCGGCGGACCTAAGTGATAGTTGAATGCTCTAGCAAAACTAATTTTAGGTCGCAAAAAATAGAAAAGCGCTCTAATTTAGAAAATGAAGTGAAATTTTTTTAGGATGCGGGTTATGGAGAGAAGTATTTTTTTACCCCAGAAAATGAAGATGATTCGGATGATCAGGTTACTATCGAGGATGAGGTCAGTAGTTTCTCTATTTATCGCCTTAGTTAGTATTCTTTGGGGAATGCATACAACATTGCTAATAGCAAAATGCTAGTCGCGATGTTGCTACTCGCTAGTAGCATTTTGAAAAATAAACGACCTGCTATATTAATATAAAAAAACCATATCACATCCTCTTGTCTGGAAAGTAACTAATGGATAGAAATTTTAAATTATGTTTCATTTAGTATTGGCTTCATAAATTTTTAATTTCATATCACTGCCAAAAAATCCGTAATTTTAGAATGTCAAATGATACTCTCAAATTCTGTGGTATAGGTTTTTTTATTTTGGTCATTCCATCCATATCATTTTAAAGATCAAATGCGCTCCGTGGAATACGACACGAGCTTACATATCATCGATGAAAGGCAAATGTTTGTTGGATCAAACGGGTATAGCTGATCCAACCGGATGTGGTGAAGGGTTTTCTTATGTTCGTGTCAATGCCAAACCACAGAAAGCTAAAGTTAGTTTTGTTTTCCTCTTTTTGCCTCTATCATTGTAATTTGTATTATTTCCTCTTTTTTAGATTTTCATTTCTGTTTTTTCTCAAATTTTTTATAGGAAGAAGTGACGAATGTTCCAAAACGATTGGTAACCGGGACAAATGCTGATCTTAGAAAGCTACCATTGAAAGAAGCGAAAGAAATATGTCGAGATTATGGCGTCAGAGAGGAAGAGGTGTTTTCTCAAATACCAATAAGTTTGCGTCGGATTTGTTTTAGATTTCAAAAAATTAAATTCGGCCGTCGAAAACGGATGTTCTTACAATTTTAATGTTTCAGATTAATTCATTGAGTAGGTGGGAGATAATTGACGTCATCCGAACATTGTCTACCCAAGCTGCTAAAGCAAGATCAGATTTTTCCGGTACATATTCTATTTTTTGATGTAGCAAACTTAATTCTTAGAGTTAGTGTAAGACTCTTCAATTCTTTGTTTGATTTTTTTCGATATTAATAATTATTATAAAAAACCTATTGTAGGTATGGCTCGGTTTGCTCGAGGGAATATCAGATTTAACTTTGCAGATATGCAGGAAAAATACAAAAAATTTTGTCAAAGAACATTTGATTTACAAAATCAGTAAGTCATTAATGTTCCAAGCACTTTGTGTTGTTAACATTTTTCATACGTGCTTTTTACAAATTTCTGAAAGCTTTAATGGATATCGGAAGACAAATTTATTGCAGGACATTGTCAAATACAGATATTTTGAGTACGGATGAAGGAAGCAGTGGGGAGGATTCAGATAACGAAGAACTTGCAACAAAGCTCGAGAGCATGCTAGATGCTAATAAGGGTTCTGCTTTAAATGTAGATAAAATATATACAATTATTACAAAATTTATTTACCAATGTGCTTAGTGAGAAAAAAATCATGATACGGGCGATAAAAAGCTTACTGGAAATGAAAAAATAATAATTCCTTCTTAATTTATCTCGCTACCAAACATTTTCATTTATCATTTATCATTTTGTTGATAAATATTGTTTAAGGCAAATCATTCATATTTGACAAAAAAAAGTTGGAGTTCGAACAAGAGGAAAAGGAACGAAAGGCTCTGCAAAAAATGCTTTGTAATGACAATCCTGCAGGGTTGTCCACAGCTAAGCATGAAAAGGAAAATGATATGAAAGGTTTCATATTTCGTTTACAAAGTTTGCATCTTCTCTATACTCACTCTGCGAGTGTGCTTTTATTATTTTTATAATACTTTTGCTGAATCAATTAATGAAATAGGTTTTTGATTTACAGATAAAGAATTAGATGCAACAACAGTATTTAACGAAATGCAAAGTTCTCAGACTCCAGCACCCTCCGTAACGAGGAAACTTAAAATATATCGTACTTACCGAGCTGAAGATGGCACAGAAACAGTATGTTTTTAATGCTTGAGCAACACTGTCGGTAATTAAATCAGAAGGAAAATCCCCAAAGTATTCAGTCTTTATGTTTATCCAAGATTTTCGTTATATTGTTTAATTTATTTTTTTAACAGACTCGAGTTGAAGTAATTACACGTCAACAGTTAATCGATGCGTACGTTCGCATACGGACAAGATGTGACGAAACATTTATTCGAGTATATGCACAAATGGATGAACAGTTCAAGGAAGTAAGTTGCTTCTATTTCACTTTTGGTTATTTTTTTTAAGTTAAGAAAGCCCGGGAGAAGCAATGGGTAAAGGAGTTCGAATTCTACAGAGTGACCATTTTTCTATTCTAGATTTGATTAAAGCCCTTCTTTATTTATTGTTGAATCTGTTTCAAAGTTTACACTTGCAGGAAAGAAGGAAGGAGAAACGACGATTACAAGATCAGTTGCGCAGAATTAGGCGTAACGAGCTCAAAGCTAAGCTTCATGGTGTACCCATCGGACAACCTATTACCAAGGTTAGTTTAACTTGTTTAGTTGTGAAATTATGCAGATATTCAATTTTGATAATGATAAGACAGCAAATGTTAAACTTTTTTTTTATATGATAAAACTTCTTTTTGTTTGGAACATCGGCTTGAAAGCAGAAAAAAAAGATACCTTATCCAGTAATTTTTTTTTGAGGCAAAAGTAACGGAAAAGAAGCCTCCAGTTATTAAACCAAATCTGTTAAAAATGAGATGCAGTGCTTGCCATGGTACAGGGCATATGAAAACTAACAAAAATTGTCCATTATATGGTAAAGATCCAGCGAAAACCGTCAAGACCGTTGGTGATATCCATCCGGTATCTTTCACTTATTGTAAACTGCTATAAAATATTGGCCAGGCATTTTTGTTTCGAGTGAATCGCATTACATACTCTATACTTTCATACTGTTGACTTTTAATGAGGAATAATATATTCTGAAGAGTTTAATCGCACATGTCTATTCTGCAATGTTAGTTCGTGGAGTGGGAAAATTTTATTTTTAGTTTTATTACGCAAGTTTGCATAGTCATTTAGTATAAAGTCATAAAGTTCAGAACTCAGGTTAATTTGATTGATTTAGGTAGCTTTGACAGATGAGCAACTTGAGAAGATGGCCGTTCCATCTGGAGAATTAATTGCAGTGGAAGGCACGAAATTGAAAATATCGAGGAAATTGTACAGTCATGCAGAAATGATCAAAAAAAATGCGCTTAGGTAAGTTTTTTTCGATTTTATTGTGCAGGAGTGTAGCATGATCTTATAAAGTGAAAATCTTATTTTAAGCATGCAAATTTCAGGCTTCATATACCTCGTGAATTAATAGAAGGTGATAAAAAACTGATGGCAGAAGTAAACAAACCATCACCATCGATTCCAGCTGAAGCAGAAGAAAATATAACTGTGATCCGTGGGAACGACAATAATGAAGATGTTGATCTGGAAGATGACGTACAAATTTTAGGAATTCCTGAACCACCTAAAGCAAGTTAGTGTGGATATATTCGCAATTCATGGAGCCTTGTTTGTTTAATTGTTCGAATACTAATCCATTGTTTCTAAATATTCATTATTTTAGACAAAGTTCGCATAACTGCCGTTGGTTCCAATAAGCGTCGTCATACTGCTGAAATGGAAGATTACTTATATGGTCCACAAAAAACTGTCAAACGGATAAGAGCTGATCCAAAAGTTTGTAAAAAATATTTGCTTACTTGGATCTTAATAATTGAAATATTTTCATGAGCTATGATGCACAAAAATTCAAAATGTGATTGGTATAATGTGATTTGGTAACTGTTTTCAAAAACCCCTACAAAAAAAACATGCCAATCCTTGTTTATCTTAATTGAAGTAATGATAAAAAATATATGGTGACATATTACAGGTATCGATGTCGATTGTTTTGAGTGAAATATTTAACGATTTTCGTAGTGTCTTCGGCTGTGAAGAAATTATGTTCCCGGTCAACCCAAAAAAAGTAATGCTTCATTAGGTTGCTGTGCATAAATAAGCGTGATTTTAATTTCAGTCTGCAGTTATTTGGAACTATTTGGAACTTTGCTAATTAAAATGATGTAGGTTTAATAAACATATGTAAAGATGTAAAGCTCTCAGAAAGGATTCAATAAGGCTATAAAAAGCTTGGCTTTTCTTACGAGGTTTCCATTTTATCAGTATTCGGCAGATAGTGGCAGAAAAGTTTGAAAACAGCAGGAAATCTGTGCCTCTTTAACCAGTGAGATAAAGAGAGGGAAGAAGTGGACTGAAGATAGTTAACTGGAACAAGATGGATTTTTTAAAGATGTTTTTTAAAAAAAAACTGAGGACTTATAACGTGGTATTCTGCGAAGTAAGTGAAATTTATACTTCTCGCTAATCATTTCTTCATTTAGGTTCCAGATTACTACAACATTATAAAGGAACCAATGGATCTACAGCAAATCAAGAAGAAAATTTCTGAAAATAAATATGAATTGAGACGACAGTTTTTGTATGATATCAAGTTGATAATGGATAATTCAATACTTTATAATGGCGGCGGCCATCCCATTACAATTACTGCCAAAAATGTTAGGTTTCTTGAACTGATGAAAGTAAAAATGTTGCTCTCACTGCTTTTCTTTTTGTATGTTTAGTTTTAACGACAAAATAAATCTTAATCTTAGGTATTTGAAATGGCATCCAGACATGTTGCTGAACGTGAACAGAAATTGATTGCTTTGGAGAAAGCAATTAATCCCTTGCTCGATGACAATGATATTATTGGTTTCTCATTTATACTGAACGAAATTGTGCAGGAGTGCAAAAATATACCTAAAAGCATTGCATTCCATTTTAAAGTTGATCCGAAGAAGGTCAGTTTCATATTTTATCATGACTTCTAAACTTTAAACCACGTTTTTGCTAGAACTGTTATAAAGGTATGCCGCTGACTGAATCAGTTTACAGATGCACATGTCGCATTTTTAAAAATTGGAGTAGTACTTTCCATTTTATTATTAAGTTTTCCGTTATACTCTCGCATTGATATTGCAAATTCTCTGATTGAAAGATTTACTAAAACGTTTTTTTTATTAAATAATTCAATTTTTTAGTTGCCTCAATATTATCAAAAAATACATAAGCCGATGGATTTGGGTACCATGCAACAAAATATTAAGGAGCATCATTACACCACTATTGAAGCATTTCGCAATGATATTAAACAGGTTTCAATTTTGTTTACTTCCTTCTGATGAAACGATAGGAAATTTTTTAAATTTTATGCAAAAATATTGGATGAAATTTCGTAGGAAGTTTTACAGATCAGAATGAACAGTGAGCTGTATAACGGACCGCCAGAAATATCACAGTACACCTCGAAAGCCGTTGAAATATGTATATTGGCTGAGAAAATGCTTGAGGTATATTTTCTATAATATATTCCGATTTCAAGATATGTCGTTTTTTGCCATTAACTAATATGTGCTGCATTCATTCCTCTTTATTTACAACCACAGTCTACAGGAACGAAAAGAACAATTAGCGGAACTAGAAATGAATATTCAGTCAACATTAAACGAGCATGTAGATCTCGAATCAAATGCAACGAGTATCATGTGTGCTGATGAAGTAGAGGAGCCATCTCTCAGTTCAAGACCTGATGAATTGGAATCAAGATTGAATGAAAACATAGTCAAAATGGAACTTGGTCCGTATTCAGTTAAAAATTTAAACCTTATTTTCATAACTTCAGTGATTGATAGTGGATACATCTTTAATTTCATTTGTAAATATTTCTTTTTAAGATAATTTTGTCTGTGTAATTTAGATGATGACGAAGATGCAACACCGGTTGGTAATCTGCAAGACGATCTTGCTCTGAGTGGGGATGAAGATGATCTAGATGATGAGGATCAGGATTTAGGTATGCTTGCCACTACATTTGGTGACACCTCAAGTTTATATTTTCATTTATCGAATTAAATTAGGTTGTAATTTGTCTCCCATGTGTAATTATAAAATTTTTATTTGAGCTGATAACGAAATTGTATGTGAGATAGGCTTGGTCTAATAATTTTAATAATTTTCTTGAAATTTAATTTCTAGGCAGCAGTTGTGATGGCGGAGGAGAAGCAAATAGCCAATATGATGCGGAAAATGATTTACTACAATCTCAAATGCATACTTCTGGTCAGCTGAATGCAGATCTGGCACTAAGTGACAGCGATGATGATGAAGATGAGCAGTTCATGGAGGCAAGAAGGCCAAAGCTGGAAGATCTTACTACGCTTTGATTTCACTTTGTTAAAAAAAATTTTTGAAGATGAGAAGGAAATGGTGTCATTCTTTTTTTTGAACTGAAGTTTATTTAATATTTGTGCATAATGTGCATAATATCAATTCTTTTTCATTTTTTATAATCTAAATGATCTTTTCAGCATAAAATTAATGGAATATAATCACAATTATGTTATCCCAAGGCGAGAAAGGCTGTCTTTTGGCTACCATAAGTTAGTAACTACTCATAAAATATCCTCGAGAACTTTGTCTGCTGTTTTTAGCAGTTGGTAGTTTGAAAATTTATGTCTGTTTTTAGCAGTTGGTAGTTTGAAAATTTATGTGCCCTTCTATTTGATTTTCAAAAACTAATGGATTACAGAAGGAGGGAAAGGCGTATAGTTTTAGTAAGTTTGAATTTCACTTCGGTTCTTAGAGAAAATTCTGTCATAATAACCAACTAACTGTGTTGAACTTCATTGTCTGAAAATTCGTATTAGGCACATATAAAACATAAACTAATTTGCTAATGGCTCAAAACCAGAAAGTTAACGGAAGATTACATTAATCGATGTGATGCTAACATGTTAAGCACAACTTCCTAAATTTTGATTTTTTAAAATTCATTCGTGCCTTATCGATGTTTGTGTCTAACAAAATGAATTTTTGATTGCTTTGAATTGTATTACGGGTTTTCTTTCTTGTTGTACTTGGTCATTTGCTCATTTGCTTTAAAAAAGTAAAGAAAAAATTGTTTTGGTTGCTGGTGCACAATTTTGCTGTTCTGCAATTTTGTTTATATTTCATTTAGGTCGTAGTTTTGTTATCAGACATTTTTGCTTTTTTGGAGAGTTTTGGAACAAATTTCTTCAACATCCAAGAGAACATTGTATTGTCTTGTTTTTAGTTTAAATTCTTTGATCGGAGTGGACAATAATAAAGGATTTCGGGGTTCTTCATAAATTGTATCGTGAAGTATTGTTTGGTTCCTACTGTTTTACAGTTGAGGCGATATCCTTCGTCAATTATTAAGAGCACTTTTTACTACTGTAAAGGAAAAAGTCCGTTGAAGGGATCGTTTTTCTTTCCAGAGGTTATACCATCTTTATGGTGAGTTGGAGAGAGCACAATCTTCGAGCTCGAAATTTTCGTCGAAGACAGTTTTACAGCATTCCATCATCCCTGTAGCATAATCTTGATGACGGTTGTACAGTGATTTCGTTTTTTATGGATGTAAAGCTACTTGATTTTAACGATGTTTCATTACTGTTTATAGTTTCTGATTCAGAAATTACAATAGAGAAGTGCATTCAATCTATACAATATTTTCCATTCCTTATTGTTTGTTTACCTTTCCTTGCCACATTGGATTATTAAATGTTTTTTTTTTTCACTGGGTATATATAAGACTGCGCGTTTCGTAACCGCTTAACTGATGACCAAATTCTGATTAGCAATACATTCACATTTTTAAATTAGTAAGCGAGATCCCGGACCTAATGGATTTCCAATTTTTATATCGCTCTCAAATTAGGTATGTCTTTGTGCGTGCTCAGTTTAGCAGAGGTTTGCTCAGAAATAGAAAAAATATATAAATATATCAGCGGAATGAGAAGGGAAGATACTTCGGGGGCATTCTCTTCGGTTTTATAAATAGGACTCACGTCGAGCTTCAAAGATGTTATTTTCTGGAGATTCCGACGGTTATATATTGATTGGGGAAGTTAAAATAGGTGAGATTCAGTTCTGTTAATTGTTTGAAATCTGTTATCATTTTATGGATCAAGTTTAAGAACTTTCTCGAAAGTTATAGCGTTATCAGTATGGTGCAAAAGATTTTCTAAAAGCTAATTAAAGGCTTCTGAAAGAGATGATATCTAGTTTATTTAATGCAATTCTGTCAAAGAAATATTTTCTTTTGGTATGCTCTCACATGGCTTTTGTGTAAGATGAATCATTCTCCCTGGATTTTTCGCCTTTCGTTATTAGATTTTTCTCTTTTCTTTATTCAGTATATTAGCAGTTGTGTAAACTTTTCTCTTGCTGTTTTCACCTCATTAGTTCTTTTTCTCTTTTTTAAAATCATTTTTGAAGTATAAAAGTAGGCTTTTGAGAATAGCAAAGTTAGTTTGTATGATTTTAGAAGTAATGAATATTTCATTGAATAGAATGATTGTTTTTTAGAATTACTCACTGCAATTTCTAAAACAAATGATTTCTATTTTTGATCAGCCTTCTGAAGTTTATTATGAAAAATGTATTGTCTGTCCGTCATTCAAATTTTGTTTAAAAGGGTAAATATGGCACGCACGTAAAGTCATCGTAGTTTTCTCGATATTTCTGTTGGTTAGTTGAAAAATTATATTTTTTAAGTAACTGCAAAATTTCTAAGGAATTTCTTTTGTTGTGATGACGTGCAATCAGTGAAAGCATCCTCAGTTATGTTTCAATTTGTTTTGTAATATAATTGCCTGATATAGCAGCTATATATTGATCAGTAGTGACTGAATGGCTTACATTACGGATGTTGTTTATCAATTATTCTAACTCTCAACAGTTTATTGAATGAATTCTAGGTGTCAAGACGTATTTCTATCAGTGTCAAGATTTTCAACTCTATTTCAACACGGTAGGCTTTTAAGAGTTGCGTTTTTGGGGATATTGTGATTATTGCCCATGGATAATTTCAAGAACTAAAATATTTAAAGTTTTTAATTTTTTTGCATATTGCATGTTAAGATTAATATAATGTTTTGCTTCACTAATAGAAGTATTGTACTATAGGCGCATGCTAAAATAAAACTTCCTAGTAATTGGATAATAAGTTAAGTATCAATAAATAAGGAGTAATTTTTTTCATACTCAATTCAGCAGTTTTTTTCTTGATTCGAAGCATGTGCTATGAGTGGGGGGCGTATCTGTCCTCATATTGAGTCATATACTATCGGGAATTTTTGAGGATGACAAATCGATAAACTTGAAAATGCAGCAATGGAAGGTGTACTGCCGATAGCGAGCGCATTCTGTTGCTGTTGAGAGAAGAATGTTGGAGCGGATGAAAGTGGATGAGCGGATTGGATGATGTACTGGCAGTTATCGTTTCTCTTTAATTCTCCTTCCTACTTCTTTCCTTTCTCCCTTCTTTCATCCTATTCAGCCATTTTACATATGGTTTTTCTTCATTCATAAGACAATTTCATGTTTAGTTAGACGAAAATTCACATTCAATTCGGAGTTTTACCACACTGCTTTCATCATTTTGATATTTGTTTTCTTCTTTTCATTGTTACTTAGAAGAAATTAATTGTCAAATTTGTTCCTTTTTCTTTATAATTTAATATAAAGAAGAATTGTGAAAGATTTATTATTCAATTTTGAAATTCTCAAAGATAGATTTGCTTTTCGTAGAGTCAAACTGTTTGCTTTCTTTGTTGTATGAAATGGACGGACATATATACTACTATTATGACATATGCAGTCACTTAACTGACTATTTGTTAAGTATGTCTTCAGGTTTGATTCAATTTTAAGACGTTTTCATTTCATTCGATTTTCTTCTTACTCAATCGATCACAATATCATCATCAACAAGGGAATTAAAACGAATTAAAACAATTAAAACATTAAAACAATTAAAGTAGATGACTAATACAGTATATTTTTCTAAATACAATTCTGGTCTACGATAATATGAGAAGAAATAAGCTTCAATTTATTGGATGACAGGAATGATCTTGCTTAATATAATTCAGTGTAGTAAATTTCGAGAATTTTGTGGTACGGTGAGACTGTATTTTTTAGAAAAAAGTATCTTTTTAAATCATTTCAACAGATAAGAGTGTTCTGATTAGCGTGATAATTGGTGTCGGTTCGGTGCAGAAATCACATCGTGTGATACTAATGATCTTGAGTGTCGTTTTTGCAATAATTTATTACTTTTTTTGCTTATTTCATTGAGTGATCATATATTTATATAGCTTCATGGAATATATTCGAACTGTTACGGCGCACCTCTTTTCGTCTACTATTGATTTTTCTTCTTTCAAGGAATAATTTTTTAGGTAAGGTGGGTATAACAAATAGTACCGTAATGGCTGATGTACGATCTCTGGCTGATAGTCCCTCAAGGCATATTACTGTTGTTGATGTTTATGATCTGGCTGCTTCAATTGGTAAAGATTTTGAACGAATCATTGATGAGTTTGGTAATGATAGTGTACGACAAATTATGCCCAAGGTAAGTTTTGTTTATAAATTTAATCTGAATACTCCTATTAGTTCGAACTGCATGTTAATTATATTAAATTTCGAACGAATTATTGATAAGTTTGAGAATAGTATGATTAAGCCTTCTTTCCGCTGTTCATATCATATTTTTGGCTTATTAGTTCTAAAGAGCAATGCAGAGCTACATTGTTAATTTGAAGTTACAGTTTGATAAATTTCAATTTCAATTAAATTTTTTTTTAGAAGGGTAAATTGGTAAAACTTTGGAATTAAAACAGTAAATAGAAAACGCAGAATAAACAAAATAAAAAAAAAAGTATAGAGATTTTGGAGGCTTTACATCATCATACAACGTATAGATAGAGGAAGCGAATAAAACTTTATCAGTATGTAAGAATGTTATAATGATGCAGCACGACTTGTTTGTAATAGTGTTATTTAACAGAAAAGAAAAAAATTGAAATGAGAAGATTGTTAGGAAGACTCGGATATTATGACATCTATAAATGAAGTTTCGTTAGCATTCTGTATACATTTTTGCATAACAAATTGTAATTGTGTGGATAAAATAAGTAAACTGCTAAGTGAATGAAGGATATATACTAAAAAGGGATTTGTTATGCATACAACGCTTTAGTTCGACCAGTGAACTTCAGATAAGTAAATGTATCATTAAATTTGTATGTCCAAATAATATCATAGGCACTAATTTCACTGATTATTTTAATTATTGATTTATTCGCTTCATTTGCTAAAAATTTCAAACGATATTATATTTAAATAATATTCTTCTTTTCATTTTCCCCTCTTACCATTGAATATCTTTTTGTCTTTAACTTGTTTTTACATAATAATTCCATTATTTCTAGTGATGGCTTCTCTATCTCATAGAAATATGTGTCATTGATATAAAAACTTTCGCAATATCCGAAAAGTGCTTTATGTAATGTGAATAAAGCATATATTCTTTAAGAGACGATTTGCATCACATTAGTCTTATACATTTCACTTCGTTTCTTTTAAAATTTTTAGCTTCAATTTGTCCTAAAAACTGTCGTTTTTTCACTTTTTCCAGGTAATCTCGGCACTTGAAACGCTTGAGTCACTAGCCAATCATAACGAAAAAGAAAATGAGGAAATTTTTATGTTAAAGAAAACAGTTGAAAGGTTGGAAAACGAAAAACAAATGAAGCAACAAGATCGAATCAAATTTGAATTGGTGATCATTCTCTTTAGTATTAATAGGAATTTGTTTCAACTCATTTTTACAATGTGGCTTAGTTAATATAAGAGGTTTAAGTTCATCCACAATTATAGTATTTTTTCAAATATTGCATACGGGTTAAGAGAAATTAACGCCAAATTCAATTTGAGATGCGAAACGTTAAAAAACTCACTGTGACGGTTGCTTGTGTTAGACAAATTTTAAATTGTTATTTTTATGTTAGTCGAGAATGTTATCAACATGGACAGTATTTTTTTGTAATTGCAATCTCCTGTTTGACCTTTGTTAAGTATTCTTCTATTGAATTCATCGATATCTAAATATGAGCATTTCCTGTCTTCTCATAAGTTCCTTCCGCATTGGTAACGTTTATGGCAAAAGCAAGTTTCATTAAACTGTAGATCGCCTTTACTCCTAATTCTGATTTTGCTTTATATAGAGAGAAATTATAGATGGATTTCATTCATCTATCATTTTATATACTATGTATAGAATATCCTGCAAAAAATTGCAGGAATTAGAAGCAGTAGAAGAGAATTATAGAAAAGAAATCGACGATTTGTGGTTGATGGTGAAGAATTTGCAGCTGGAAAACAAGCATTTGTCATCAGCAACAGACGATGATGCTTCAGCACTTACTTCTACGAGTATTGTTTTTTCATAATTTACATCTTATATACGTTTAAAAGGATTGCATTCCTGATCAATAATGAAGAATGTCATTTAATAGCGATGACATGATGGAAAATGTTCTTATATTTATTCCATGTTCAATTCTCTGCATTTTATACGTCACTCAACACTGGAAAATCGTTTTCTCTTTTTTATGTCAGAAAAATGTGTGCACTCCCAGTTTAAAAAAACTGCTGCTAAACAAGCATCATTTTGTTTAGATTCCTCAAATTTTCATTATCAAATAGTTTTTGGAAGGATTAAATTTTTAGTTTGTCCTTTTCAGCAACTCGCGACGAAGATCTAAAAATGTTGCTAGAACTACGGGAGCTCTCTACTAAACAAAAAGAGCAAATAAAAGAATTGCAAAAAGATATCAGTACTTATAGTTGTGAAGTAGAAAATGTAAGTCATTCTTCAGTAATCTTCCGAGCACTTATGAAATAAGAGAAAAAAATAGCTAATATTCAGTATCATTTAAGTAACAAAAATCTCGAAATTCCCAGTGCCGATATTTTTCTTGAATTTTTCAAATCTTTGATATCTGCTTAATTCTCTTCAGTGATTAATTTGATTTTCGATATATTTGAAGATAAATCTGGGTAACTTTTGTTGCTGCCTAAAGGATTTGATGCTCTGTTTTAACGCCATATTTTTAAAAATTAAAAGGCTTCAGTGGCTTTTATCATACTTCTATCACAACATGAAGCCTTTCTAATTTTTTTATGCATAACAGATTTTCATGCTAGAATCTATCATCTGTCTTTCAGTTGCATAATAATGTTGAAAAACTGATTCGTCAAAATGAAGAACTTCTACGGAAGAATGCGTCGTTGCAAAAACAGGGAAGAATGTTGGTGGAAGAGAAAAGTGAAATTATTAAAAGACTACAGCTAACTGAAGAAGCTAATATTAAGCTAACGAAATTATTCAAAGATGCCACTCGACAGTGCAAGGATTTGCAACAGTATCAAATGGTATCTTTTGTTTCATTTGCGCAAGTTTTGGCAAAAATTTGAATATGTACTTTCTTCATCGTTTTCCATATGTTTGCATTGCTTTATAGATTGTAAACTTTTTCGGAAAAATGTTTTATGTCTTATTTTACATCAATTTTCGAAAATCCCTGCTCGTAGTTAAATATCAAGTCTTTCTGATTCTATTTATTCTTGGAGGATGTTTTATTTGATACTTATCAGTCACCTTTGTACAACTGTAGTTAACTGTTCTCAGAAATATTTTTGCTTTAATTCTCTTATTGTATTCTTTACTTCGGAGATAAAAATTCTGGTTTAATCTCAAATTTGTGAATTTGTGGTTAGCAGAAAAAGTTAAGATTTCAAATTTTGTTGCATTTTTCTATAAAAGTTACTTCTTTTAGTGAAATATTTTCAGGGTGACAGTGATAATGCTCCTAGATTCACTCTATCAGAGCTACGTGAAGTATTACAAGAGAAAAATTTGCTAAAAGGCAAAGTTTCGGAATTGGAAGAGGAGTTAGAACAATTACGGCCATCACACGGACGAGAATCTGTTGCAAGTGATTCCAGCAGAGAGTTTGATAGGTATTTTCTAGTAAAAAAAGTAATTATTGTTTAATGAAGAAATTTCTATTAATTTAATTAAAAAAATATCTTTTTCGTTCTGTCCTACAGTGTGGTCATTCTTGTATGAAAACATCGGTTCTCATCATTTAGGTCTGCTCAAACAGAAGAATATGTTGTTTATGGACCAATCAACAGGGAACCTGAAGAGAAATTATACCCATGGAAATATGAACGGAAAGAAAGCGGCGTGCGAAAGTTGTATGCTTTACTTTATAAAAAGTTACAGAAGAAGTAACTGTTTTTCAATTATTTCATACGCAGCTTACACTGTGGAAGGACGATAAAGACTAGTTAACATGAAGTCTAGAGAATCTGCCGATTACTAAAGAATCTCGTGGAAGTTATCAAAAAGGTATTTTGATACTTTAATTCCGGGTCTGTTTTTCATAGTATTCATAGAAAATATTAATTTCTGAGCACTTTTTTTATCGTGTTAAAAATTTTGGGGGGATATGTAGGATTTGTTTAGTCCTATCCATGAGCTAGCTCTCTAACAAATCGAGTAGTACCTAGGTTAGTGGTTAAGGGTTTGTAATTAGATATATTGAAATAAACAACTTGAACTCGAGGTTTTTGATGGAATTTATAAATAAAATAAGGATTTACAGAATTTACAATTGCAGTTTCCGATTTTTCTTCAATAAAGAAAGCGGTGGCTATAGTCCTGTGCACGCCTCCAGCAGTCCAATACCGTCAATGCGCTCCATGCCATCATTTTCTGGTCAATCAACTTAGATTCATGCCCACCAGTTATGGTGACTATTTACACAGCTTTCTAATAAGGTTATATAACTTGGTTTCTCTTGCTTATACGGTCTTCCTGCAGATTGTTCCCATTTATTGCTTCTATGTTTTTTCTTATTTGAATGAAATTTCGAACATTAACAAGTGGTAAAACTTTTAAGATTTTTCGTTCTTTTGCATTGTTATATACAGCGAAATATATTTAACTTAAGAAATTCAGTGGAAAAAATCTTTTAAGAGATAGAAATCTTTGAGAGCAAATAGCCATGCTTTTTTTGACTTTGTTTTCTTCATCAATTTTAGTAAATTTATGATAGCTGAAGTTTTAAAAGAATAGCAGCTAAACGAAATGATGACAGAATTGTCAGTCTTTTGCCTCATTCAAGAACGTTTTGAAAAGGAAAGAGAGGGACAAAATTTACAACTTTTATTGAGAGAATTTAATGAAGGTTACAGTCAATAGCTGCATTTGCTGTTAATAGCTGCTTTTTGAATATCATTCATCAAAGATTATGAAACGGAGTGTTGAACCAAAAAGCGTCTGCTAGTATTTGTTTATTTCGTCTGAACACCACAATATAAGCTTATTTCATGCTGTATGTATTTCTCTGTTTTTTTGTTAGATGTGTGGTTTTTTGTACTCGCTATTTCTGGGTATGTATAAAAGAAGCAATGCTTTTTTTTTTTTGTTTTTTATGATTTTGTTTTCTTCATTAATTTTAGTAAATATACGACAAATTTAAAAAAAATAACAGCTAGACGAAATGATGATTTTACCTTAAATGTTTTGAATTATGAGAGAACACTTTCTATTTGTTACAGCTTAACAAATCAACTCTAAAAACATATGGCGATGATTAATTATGACTTAGTTCCACTTTCTCTGGCTAAACACCAGGAAGTATACATGATGGGTGTGATTAATTTTTGTATTCATTTTGAACCTTAAAATAGCAACACTACGAATGTCTTAATCTATTGTGAGGCATATTAAGGTCTAGCTTGTCTTCTATTTCGTCTTTCTCGTCCAGCATTTGACATTGTGCTTGCTGTTGTTGCTGTTGCTATCGTCGTTGACCCAGAATGATCCGATTCGTTATTGCTATCATCCTGATTCGATTGTTCCTCCGAATCTTCTGAATCTGGAGATTCTGCAGCTCTGAAATTGGAAATATAAATCACTTATGGAAATGGTAGCTGCTATCCTTAATATCCGGGATTTTTCATGGAAGATCGAATAAACTAAATTTGCTCAATTTTGATAACAAGCAGGCTGAATGCTACAGTTTTATTTTTGACTCACGTAGATGTTCCTTGCTGTCGTTCTGCAGGTGTAGGTCTTTGGGTTGGTGCAGTGGATTGAATGCTGGCTTGTGGGGATGCTTGTCGGAGAGTGTGACTTAAATTTCCTCTTCCACCTCGTGATATTACCACGTATCTTCTACGTGGTCGATCGGTGGTCCGTTCTAAATGATTGTCTAAAAATGGAATCATTCGCTAAAATCATAGTTATGGCAACTTACCATCCGTGCTGTTCCAATATTTTAGTATTATAAATGAATTGGAAATCCTCGAAATTATCATGCAAAATACCAATTTGATTAGATGGTCCTGGTAGTTGACTAGCAGTGTTGGGTGTTACCACATTACTGCTAGGATTTTCAAGTATCGTCAAATCTGTTGGAGCTCTACCACTAAATTCTGCATTCAACTGGTCATCAATCATTCTCTCGAAAAATCCTGTACAGGTAAACACATTAAGGAATACTTTGTCATGTAAAGATATTTTAAAAGTAGTATGTTATCTATTAGTTTTTGCGAGTGATGTGTAGTTTATTAATTGTTGCAAAGATAATCTGCAATTAACTTTGTTAAAATCACTCTTTTTCCCAATATCCGATCAAATATTATCAATTATATCGGATCAGATATAATTAAATATCAATTACTCTTTTCTTTCACTTTCTGATTTTTCCGTTACTTCTTGGTTCCTGTTCGATTTTGAAACTATTTTCAATTTAAATTAAGAATTTTTCAAAATTCCGGACATCCAAATTCTCATTTCTACTCTTTCACATCCTTTTATTTGCGTGCATAAATATTATTTACTTGCAATAGTAGCCATCATCATTTCACCAGGATCCTCATTTGGTGGTAATTGGACTTGTGCAGCAGCTGGTGGTTGAGGAATTGAAGATTCCTCAACTGCTGTAACTTCTGTAGCTTCCTCAGCTGTGTCCACATTTTCGCTCATAAAAAACCACCAGCCGGGTACCTGTTGCAACTTTTTTATTTAAACTGCAGCGGTAGTTCAAATTTATTGATTTTTTTCATATCTTGCAATTGTTTGTGATATTTTAAAATCCGCAGCTTCAAACCATTTTTAAAAATTACTTGAAATTAGTAAATGTTCAGTGATGTGTTAATCTGTATTTCAACTACAGAAATGTTTCCACTTTCTTAAAAAGTTTTTTAGTGAAGATCAAACGACATTTAGTGAAAGGTTAAAGGACATTTTATTATTTCTCGTATTACCAGAGTTTTAAATGATTTCATGCCAAATAAAGAAGGCTCGCCAAATGGGTGGCATTTTGAAAGACATACACTTTCAATGTTTAGTATTCTCTGAACTATAATAAGTGTGAATTTCTATTTTTTTTTGTCTTTGATTAAACTGAACAACGACGCTTCAAATTTTTGCAATCATTTTGAAAATAATATAAAATAAGCCTGATTGCGTTGATAAGTGATTGGTACGAAGTTCTCTACTTTCCTAAGAGAAAATATGGCCTTAACTGGAGGGTCGATTACCGGATGTGGGTATTCAGTGTTGAAATGTTTGTACGGTTGCACCCAAACCATATGCGACAATAATTCACAATGGCCATGCATCCATTCTTGCTGATATAGTGAATCTGCTCGTTTACAAAATGTCACCTGGAATGGAAATTTTAAAATTTGGATATTTTTTGATGTAATTATACTTATGTATTTGATGCTAATTCTTTTCCTGTCAACATTTATGATTCATTATTTCTATAAATGTATCATAATAAGGAGCTATAAGGTTTTACAAGTTGGGAAAATTACTTATCTTGAAATGCAATTTTCGAAATTCATCATTTTTTAAATCTCTGGCTACCATGTGAGTCGGATCATGCAAACATAATTCTTTCAATGTAAGCGGTAGTAATTTCTTGATGAAATATCGTGTTTCAACTATTTCTGATTCATAAACAAACACGCAGAGATATTTGGCGGTGAGTTGTTGCAACATTCGACATTCCTGATACAACGGTTTACTGCTCAGTGAGAGAAGTGATGGCGGTAATGTCAGTTTGCACAAGCATTTCAAATTGCCTTGAAATTAACTTTTAATTATTCGTACATAATTGCTTAATTGCGTGCAATATTCATTATCAACAAGTATTGCATATGTCGAAG